CTTCATTACCACATTTTCTATTTCCATTTCAAAATACACAGGCCCACTGTTCTGCCAAATGATATTTATTTAAAAATAGACAACACTCAGAAATTAACACATTCTCTCATCTAAGAGACACTCCATGTAAAGAGATAAAAAATCATTAACACCAAAAGGAAGTTAAAATATATAGACCGAGAGGCACCGCTGAGGTTTAGGCTATAAAAGCATCCCATCAAAAACCTCCTGTTATGGTTAGGCTCTAAAACGAGCAAGAAGAGGCAGAGGTAGAGGTGGAGGAGGCTGGAAGTCACTGGACATTAGACCAATTTAGCACAGTTCTTAACTGTAGAAGTATGCACAAGTGGAGCTGTATTTAGGAGCATGGTTGAATATATGCTTAAGGTCCATCAGTTTTACTCGCTGAAGCTGAAATGCTTTACTGCACAGGGATGGAAAAAGGTGCAGGTGTATATATAGCCACGTGAAAATATTGAGGAAGGAACAGGTATCATCAATTTATTCAGCACAGAAAAATCCTTGCAGACTAGGACGGGTTCTGCTGTTCATGCTTCAAAGAAAAATAAATATGAGCAACTGGAAAATGATCAGAAAAGCGTTACAGGAATTATGTCTGGGAAAACTTCCTTAGCTAAGCAGAGGGCACCAGGAGGGTCAGAAACATCTGGTGAAGCCTTACAGGGGACAAGTTTTCTGATAATAGATGACTTTTATTCTTTCAGGTAAGGTTATAAAAACTGCAGTGGCTAGAAACTGACTCTGTGAGAAATCAGCGTAGAGGTAAGGTGCACATTTTTAACAGTGCGGATGATTAATGGCTCATGCAATTGATTTTGGATTGTAATAGATTTGCAGTTCGAAAGCCAAGGCTGAATGTGTTTCTTCAAGAGTGTGCCTCAGCTCCTACCCCAGCTCTGTCTGGATTCAGGCAGTACCAAACAGCATTCTGTAGTCTGCCTTGTGCGAAAAGTCATTTTAGGCGGTTACAGTTATCCCTGCTGGCCTCAAAACCTATTTCAGTTCTTTGTTGACTTGGGACTATGATGGATAGTATTAATTACCCATATATATGAGAATGAAGAGTTTTCTCTGTATGTCTGTTGTTTTTTCTGCTGTAATGAGTGCGATATGCTTCCTACATCAGCCGTTTATCACTCTCTGGGTGAAATCATGAAGTAATTAATGCTACCGGAAGAGATTTCCACAAATTTTCCTTTTTTTTTTTTTTTTTTTTCCTTTTCCTTCATACTGAGCCTGACTGGCTTCATTTAGACCAATGCTAAAAGATGAAAGATGAATGCTAGCCAAGACCAAAAGCAAAGGGAATAGGATTTTTGTAAATATGATTTCCTTGTGGGCTGTCTTAGTTTGTTTTGTGGCTTTTATCTTAAAAAAATATTATCTTGTATTTCTGGATATTATAATTATACACTAAAAATTAGTATCATTCTTTTTAATATAGCAAGAGCTTACATGATGAAAAACTACTAAAGATCAGTGACATTTGAAGCAAGGTAAAGAAAAAAAAGAGAAAAAACCCTGATTTATACAATGGTACAATTTGGGTACGTTATTTATATTCTCTGGGTGTGCATGGCTACCTCCCAGGTGAACATCTGTGCTGAGAAAATTATCAATATGAAAAAAGCAATTTTAATTTTCTAATACTGAACATTTCAAGATTTTTATTTTGTCTTTTGTTAATTATACTACTAAACTGCAAATAAAAACCAGGTGGGCTTAATTCCCAAAGAAGCCACTGTAATTTTTTCTCTGGCTTCATAGTATAACAATTTGCCCTATGGAGTAATTTGAAAACAAATTTCTTTTCACTGTTCTGATTTCCTTGTTTCTCTAACCCACTATATATTAACAGGACCTATGAATTGTATATTGAATGTGTACATTACAGGCTTTTTTAGTTCATAATTTTTTATTGTAACACTTGCAATCAACATCATTTATCTTAGGGTTTTACCCTGACCATTAATTTAGTCTGAGATTGTCTTCCACAAAATGAGTGGGAAAACCAAATCCTTCATGGAATCAAACAAACAGTAATTTCCGTAATGAAAACAGACGCTATTGTGAAGACTTTTAAGTCTGATAGAAAAAAGGGACTCAGAAGATGGAAGTCAGCGGCTTCAGGCTCTGAGCCTCTCGGGGAACACAGATGATCTCTCACAGGGTTGGCCAGTAACTCATCGCTGGGCTTCCCTCCTCCCAAAAGGCAGCTGCTGGATGGAAGGGAACGGGGTTGGGCAGCCGGACCCCAAACCTCGGCTGCTTCGCTGGCACTGTGGGACAGCTGTGTCCTCACAGGATGGCCTGTTGCAAATGCTAAAGAGAAAACTACAATGCAAGGTAATTTTACAAGCATGTCAACAGTAAGAGTGGAGAGGTTTTTTGATCCGTATTTTTAAGAGTTGTATAGCACCAGGGCTAGATTTTTGTAGTTCAGGATTTATCTGGGAGAAGAATTCCAGTTTCAAATTTTTAAACGCTAGTGGTAGGAACGAGCAACTTTGTCACTTTGAGATAAACAGCAGTAAATTACTGCTTTTACTTAGTTCTGCCTTTTTTCTTTTTTCCTTAAGTAAGACTTAAAATAAAAGCTCCTTTAGAATCAACAGGTCTCATTCATCTCTGTAGCAGAATATCAGCAATTGGGATTAGAAAGTTCTTTATTAAATATTTATTGCAATAATCCTTAGAACTATTAGTGCTATTACAGGACATAGAGGAAGAGCTGATGAAGACATCAGTCTGCTGACACAAGAGTTGTACTGGAGCTGACAAAGACAACGTAAAGTGTATTCTGTCTATCTGTGAGACAGCAATAGCTATTTATTCTGAATTGTGAGTAGCCTCCTGCGTGCTGCACAGCGGCATGTCATCCTACAGTGTGTCTAGAGTTGTCATCCTCTTGGTTTCCCCTCCTCCAACACACATAAGGAGGATCAAAGATGAAATGGGCACTTTTTCAAGTGTGGAGACCATCAAGCACCCCCTGTACTGCCTTTGTGACTTCCCATTCTTCTGGCTGACACACTGCAAGTCAAAGGAGGGCATGTACAGATCAAAAAGCATATGCTGCAAAAAATCAAGGCAAATACCCCAAATTCAGCAAAAAGTCATAGCCACAGTGGACTGGCACAGCATGCAGCTTGGAACAAAAGCCACCTTTGAAAAGGAAGGAGATAGGACCTCGGCAGCATCGTATGGGGCAGGCACAGGATCTGCTGACTACTGGCGAATTGGTCGGTCTGGGGTTCATTGGGGAAATGGCACAGCTTTGCACCCCTCTCAGGGAAGGCTTCTGTTAAAAGTGACAGTGAGACCTAAGCAGCGGCTGTGATACTTAGTGGGAGCCAACCATTTGCGCCAGTAACTCTACCCAGTGAGATTTTGTATATGTTATTTTGGCAGGGTTGGTCAATGAGAAGACTCTTATGTATACTAACTTTCAAAATATGTTAAAAGACTATTTTTGCCTTAGGGATTCAGCAGAGGTAACTGTACACAGGCCAGTCTTCATGAAACGTAAAACGCGTATTGATCTGAGACAAAAAGAGATGCCATAGGGAGCAGCGGGTTCCCCAATGTCAGAGCAGGAAACAAAGCCAAGGACAGAAGCTATCAACTGAAATATTGTTTAGCTGCTTTCATCAAAGAAAATATTGCACATCAAATTATGTGATATTTGTGAATTGTTTGTTGCATGTAGGCTGCGCTGATTGCACTAATTACCTGCAATAATGATCCTGCTCAGGATCTGAATTTTAATTTTAGAATAATTTGCAACTACTTATTGTTGCTGCCGTGGCCTTATAGTTAAAAATAACTAGCTAATGCAATTCTTTTTAGCACTATTGACCCAGATTTGTGGCCTGAAGAGGGACAGGCTATTTTATTTAGCTGTATCTCTCCAAACATAAAAGATAATAATGAGAATTATAGCTGCACAAAAGTTTAACATTCATTTCTGCTTTGACAGAATATGAGGTAGTTTTGTTCCTTGGGTCATTTAATCTATTAATTATGTCCCACTAATTTATGTTGTCGCAGTGTCAGGTCCCCACCTAGCGGCGTGCAGACTGGCTCGCCCCTGTCCAGTCTGACCTGTGCTTGATGGCCACATCTCACAGGTCCAGTGTTGGTGCCACCGCTACGCGCAGAGCGGACATGAAATGCAGGCACAGTCGCCTCTTCTTGATGTTACGAAGTTTGGGTTCTTGACTCTTATTGCACTGGAAAGGTTTTCCAAAATGGTGAGCAAATAAAATAAAATTAAAGGGCTGGAGTGGAGAAAGACACTCTGATGATTAGAAAAGGACTCAAGAATGCTTTCAGCAGTATGTTTGGGTACCGTTACATCTTATTAAAGCATTTCTTGGTAATGAAGCTATTTGATTCAAGCAGGCAGTGGTGGAAAGCCCCACCTGGGGAGCACGGCAGGAGTGCTCCTCATACCTGGGAGAGGAGCAACGGAACGGATGAGGAAGGGGGTTCATGTCACCAGCT